AAGCTACTTCAAATCAATACATTTTCATCAAAGAAAATCCTATTTTATAGACTTTTTTTCCATTTTATTAAAAATGCATGATGCTGAGAGCCCAATCCTACCCCCATGGGAATCAGTGAGTGGTTCTGATTGCAGTTGGGTACTGGACTTCTTTTGCCTGCTGCTATTGCCTTCTCTTGAAACTGCATGTGAATTCCCCCTCATAATTTCTTATCTTTCTCAATCTGGTCCAACACATTGAAATTATAGCAGCATTTTTTAAGTGTTAACACTATTTCTTCAGTAATCTTTCCTTCTGTGAAAAAAAAATGATGCTTAATTTTTTTTTTTGGGGGGGGGGAACGTATCAAGTTTGAAGCACACGCTGTCCTTTGTATTGTCACAATGGTGTACCTCTGCCATAGGTACCTGTCCATCTGTTTAGAAGCTCTAGGTACCTGGTACCACATTCACAGGTAACATTCACTGTTACTCTAGAAAAAAAGCAGACTTAACCCCCCTTAGGAAGGCAATATACTGTCTAAGAGCTTGACCTCTTTCTTATCTTTATGCTATAGCTTTCATATCACAATAAAAATCATCAGTCTGGAACAGAACAGTTTGGCAGGATGGCTCAGTAGAGGCATAAAGTGATAAGCATTAGGAATAAAAGGTAAGCAAACCGTGCTAGGTCATTGCTGCTAAAGGAGGAGCCTTCACCTATTGTTCTTGCTGCTTATGCAGTCACTAATAGTCTGGGCTTTACTAGGTTGTTTCTGTTCTTAGGACAGATTATTGATATGAGGTGGAGGTTTAGTAGGATCTTATTTATTTGCAGAGATTACACACTGCATCCCAGGATGTGCTTTCTGGGGCAGCAACCACGTGCTTTGCTTGCAGTGTTTCTAAATGGGCTGTGAACCAGTGTCCTTTGCCCTTCTGCTTCAGATCCCCTTACAACACTGCTTCTCCTCCTGCCTGCTGGGCTTCCCTCAGTGCCCGGCTCTCATCTTGCTTGCAGCTTGTCCATCCCCTTGTCCATTTTTGTGGATCCAGGCCCTGAAAGACCCCTCAGACCAGATAGCTTAATTCTCCCCAGACTTGGCAGTACAGCTGGCTGATTTGAGAATTTTCTGCCATTTTAGTCCTTTCAGGCTGCATTGTGTCTCCTGTTTACTCTGTTAAAAGGATAGCTATTAGGTATCATATTAGCTTTCATGCTGTGTATGGCTGTCCACAGGTCAAAAATTTGCTTGAGGGCATCCAATAATGTCTATCAGCAAAGCAGGTGTTCTGCCTCTGTGTTCTGCCATCTGTGATGGCATTTCTCTGGGAAGGATGACTTGATTACCCAAGAATGGCACAGAAAAGTGGATTGCATGTGCTCAATGGTTTTAGCTGGAAGAAGCACTGAAAGATGAGGAGGACAGTTAAATTTTCTGCCTTAGATTGGAGCCCATACCTCTCAAACAGTGCCCTAGCCTTCTCACTGTCAGGCATTTTGAAGGGTACGCAGAACAGGAGGAGGAGGAGTCTTTCCAGTTGAATTGCTTTATTTCCTACTCATAATTAAATATTAATTTGCTCAGGGATTGGAATCTAGCACTACATCTATGTTCATAAATTAAGCAGTGTCGAGAAGATTCCTGGGCACTCAAACTCCATCTTCTGTCCTGCTAAATTGTTCTCTTGGTCCCTGGGCTGCCTTTGGCCTGTGCTACCCTGACTGCTCGTACGCAGTTTGCTAGCATGGTTCGGGAGATGACACAGACCCTTGCCGTAGGCAGTTCACATACAGCCACCTCACCTTGAAAGTTATTTTCTTGATGCAGGATGTTCTGTGCTGATTGTCCTCAGTACTGGGGACAACTCTGGGCATATTTAATTTATTGATAAGGCTGTAGCCCACGTGTTCCACCTCTAACCTCCCAGTGAGATGTTTATCTCATTTGCTCATTAGCTATTTCAACCTCCTATATAGATATAGAATAATGTATAAAACGGGACTGAGTATTATCAGCCCAGTGTTTAGGGCAGGGATTTGAACCAGGAACTCATAGGGCAGGAATTTGAACCAGGAACTGACCGCTATCCTCATTGGTGATCATTAGACCACACTTTCTCTAAGGCAATTTCATCTCAGGGCAATTTGATATCATGGCTTTATATTGCAGCAGTGCAATGAATATGATAAACTTAGATAGCAGATGAGTCAGAGATAAAGGAGGAAGAATGATGCTCCAGACTAGGGGATGAACACGCTCTTGGGAGTGAAAACTCCCAGGCACCTCTCTGCTTTGATACATGTTCAATAATAAAAAGTAAATCAGAGGCAATTGAGCACATCTCTCCCAGTGTCCGGAAGTGGTGAGTAATGCAGGTTTGGACTCAGATCCCTATAGGAAGATGAGGGAAATTCCTACTCTATAGCTTGTATTTTTATGCCACAGCCTAGATTTTCAACACTGCAAATTTAACCTAAAATACATCTTAGCTGCTCAGAAGAATAAAACTTAAAACTGTGCAGGTTGGGTGACATACAAGCTTCATGTTCAAGGGGATAATACGGGTGGTCGTAGACATGTGTTTTGTGGAACAGATGAGAAAATTGAAGTGTATTTTGATTTACACTGGAGGGGGATTGATTGCTGTACTGTAAAACATTGCTTTTTTCACTCTATATACAACAATAATGTAACAGCAGCCCACCCCATTCGCTTAAAAAAGCTATTTCACAGTCAGAAGTCAATGGTCTAGTATTGGAAAAAATGTAATGTGTCTGGGCTTATTATGTCCAGAAAAGGTTCACATACTGGCTTTCAGTAGAATCACCAGGAATTGACTTTGGAGAGCCAAATATGAAGAAAGGCAAAGCTAACAGTAATTCTTAGGTGATTATGTGATTTCTCTAGTTCTTAAAGCTTCATAAACATGCGCAATGAGTTTTTTCTCAAAAGGTAAACAGCAGCTGTGAAAAGATTGTTTTCTAGTCCAGCACAGGAAGGATATCTATTTCTTCTCTTCAAAGAAGTTCAGTATTGATCAGCATTCACAACATTAAGGATGAAAGCCTTTGCTCATATTGAATTTTAGTGTTCCAACAATCTTTTTCTAAAAATAAGAGTTTACTGGTACTGTCCTGGGACAGTAGTACTGTGACTGATAAAGACAGAGGGAAATTACCTGACTCACTTCTGCATATTCTGCCTGTGCTGCCTGAAGACTTCGAGAATCTGCTCCAAGCCTAGAATACTTTGCATCTGTAAAGGCAGAGCAAGACATCTATCACACATGGAAAGATCAAAAACTGTGACTCCCTGTGGAGTAACTGTTGGGAGGGAGGCTGAATAATGTCGAACATATTCAGATCTCTGCCTTCACCTAATGCACACTGTGAAGGTTGCGTTTATAGTCAAAGGGTGATTCACTTATATGGATGTGGAAAAGCTTTAGTGCTTCTGCCTTAACAGACACCGACCTATTATTTGTTTGAGACACACTGCCAGTTACTTCTGTCCTCTCTTAGACAAATATGAACATAAATATTAATCTGGGGTGTGATTTTTTTTTAATTGTTGAAAATGCATACTCCATGACTTGGGATATAGCTTAGGTGCTTGGAAAATCTTTGGGAGTTGACAAAAAATTTTTAAAACTCAACTTAAAAAATTGAAGTCCCCTCAACCTCAGCAATAATCTGTCCATTCATGGATGTCAACAATATTCCCTGAAAGTGCCTATGTTCAGGAGTCAGGAACTGATCTATGAGGATAAAATCATTGAATCTGTTTCACTTGGTCATTTTAAGAGCCTTCTTATTGCAATCTCTAAAACAGCCTCTAAACTTCGTTCTTCCACTTCTAAAGATCTGAGTACACAAAAACTTAAGTGATAACCTTTCCTCACTGCCCAGTGAGGTAGGTCATAGAATCATAGAATCATTATGGTTGGAAAACGTTAGCAGGGTTAAGGAGAATTCACTGAGTGGGGAGGAGAGGAGGAAATTTTCCTGCAATTTCTGGACTAGTCCACAGATGTTGTGACTATGAACTGGCTCAAGTAGCCACTGCAGGCTCTTTTTCTTATAGTAAAACACCAGGAGGGAATTAGATCCTACTGGCAGATCAGATCCAATTGTACTGCCAGAATCGAAAAGAAATACCCTGACATGAAGAGTCAAACTATTTCCTCTCCTGAGGTGACTTTCCCCCATTTTGTTGGTGCTGTGCTCCCAGCAGGACCCTTGTCTGCTGTAGCAGATGGTGAGGGGTAGAAAAGAACGCAGGGGACATTTCTTTGAACAGTGGTGGGTAATGTTATCCCTAGAGCAGGCACAAATATTTCTAGATTGAGTGCTCTGTGTTCAGTACCTGTTACATGATGGATGTGCCTCATAGATGATGTGGCTTTTCTTAGGATGCTTCTGTCCCTGCTACATCCAATAGGCTTCCCGCAGCTAGAAAAACATCTTGTTGCCTCTAAACATGTCAAGAGCCACTGTATCAGCAAAGTAACTACCACAGTTATTTCTACAAGGAGTAGGATGTTGTCACAGAAGTGTCATATTCAATAGGAGGAATATCAAAAAAAAGGCTTTCTTTTTTTCCTTCGCTGGAAATGACATGGCTGGGGATAAGCAGACAGACAGTATCAAAGGGAAATGAAATCTCAGACACATGGTTGCTGATTTATGGAAATAACCTTCCCTTTCCCGAAGATAGATTTGTACTGGAATGTACAAAACAGCCTGACAACAGAGCATGCGAATGGGTGTATCTAACATAAATATAGCTGATATTTTCCATTATTGCTGTGTAGCAATCTCTGGGCAGCAATCAGATGCATTTAAATGTGGTGAATATGAAAGTAATCATGCTACAGATTTCACTCTTGTCCATACTGTTAAGGAAAGAACATTGATAAGTCTCTTTTAAATAATCTGATAGTGAAATAAAGTGAAAATCTAATGCCTGCGACACAGTTAGTGTTCTTTTTAATTCTGCACTGTCTGAATTTTCCAGGGTTTTGAAGGTATTCCTGTCCCGAACTGCTCAGCGTATTCCATACATGACAGGTGGACGAGTGATGAGGATGCTGGCTGTAATTCTCCTGGTAGTCTTTTGGTTTCTCATCGGCTGGACTTCTGCAATAAACCAAAATTTGGAGAGAAACATTCCACTCATTGGCCAAGGGCAAACATCTGACCATCTGATCTTCAATATGTGCCTCATAGACCGCTGGGATTACATGATGGCTATTGGTATGTTCATTTTCTAGCTTGTGATTTAATTGTTAAATTAAAGCTTAGCTGCTTTTTACTGTCTTTTTTCCTCTTCTTTTAAAATACCTAAAGTTTTGTCAGTCTACATAACATCACTTGAAAAGCATCTAGGGAATGAAGTATTAGCAATGCATGTTTTTAAATGGGGTAAGAATTAAAACATCGAAATATTTTGAAAACTTTATGACTTTCAAAGGTTTGTAATTTTGATTGTAATAACAATATTATTGGTGCTCAAGAAATGCTCAAGAAAATCTCTGAAGGCAGAATGTGTCTAGCATGCTACTCTGTTAAAGTGAGACCCTGTGATTACAGTGGGGGGGTGGGTTTAGTTTCTGCTCTGCAGAACTGGTTAAATCTCTCTGGTGTGGCAAGAAAAAGGACTCCTAAGACTCCTTTTGTTTATTCTTATATAAACTAATATGCAAGTAATGGGAATATGATATGCATATCCAACTTTCCAGCTGCAAATATTTGCTAGATGTGCTCTCAGTGCTTGGTGTAGACAAGAGCTAAAAATGTCAACCTGCAGAACTCTGTCTCTTTGGGGAGAAAACATTTTTATTTCTTTTGTTTTGTAACAAATGGTGGATCTCCCATGACAGAGTTCAGCTATCCCTGTACCATGGGCTTCCCCTGATGTCTGGATGGCTCCAGTGCTTCCTCACCAAGAGCTGCTGTTTCCAGCACAGCACAGATGTGCCCCTTAGACATTGGAGCAGCTTCTAGGTTTTAGGAGTGTTTTTTCCAAGAGTGATGTACAGAAGGCCTATGTATACATGGTATCATGAAGCAAATTTAAAGGACAAACAACAATCTCCACCTTCACCAAGGATTTAACTGCTATGGGAAAGAGATGCCTCTAAACTGCTGTATTCCCTCTCTCGTCCCTCTGCTCTGGTCTCGGAGGTGGTCGGCCACAGAACCTGTTAGGGCTCTAGTTGGCAAACTGCAGAGAGATGAGTGTAAATGGGTATATCTAGAAATGTGCCTGGGTCTGGGCTCACAGTGGTGGGAGGGGAGATACTGATAAAATCTAGCTATGTATTGCAGTAATGGATCTGTATTATCCCTGGAGATGTTGTAAAGACTAATAACAAAAAGAAATTAAATGTGGAGCCCTTGTTGGTGTCATCTGCATGGAGCTGTTTGGCCTGAAAATCCTATGGCTTTCCAGTACTACAGTGCCATATTACTAAAAAAATGATACAGGTGGTTGTTGCATTATGGCAAATGTGTTTTTATTCTCTTAAGCTTATAGCTGTAGCAGTGAAATGATCAACAACTCAGATTTTAATACCTAAATATGATCAGTAGCTTCCTTTTGGTGAGGAAATGATATGAATTGCTCTCTGCCTAGTGATAGAAATGATGAAGTTCATGTTTTAAGGTGTGTTTACATCAAGAGGATGTTATTAATGTTTCAAAATATATTCTAAGGGAGTAGAGACAAGACTAGTTTTCAAGCCTGAACAAAATAGGACAAACTTCTTATACTATCTTATAAGCACACTTAGATTTGTCCAAATCTTCCGCAAACTCTGTAACCACATCACTGGCATCAGCAGATAACCAGCTGTAAGGCTGTACTAAAATATGTGCATGTGTGTTTGTGTGTGCGTGTATAGGCACTGTAAGTTTTTTATTGCTAATAGCAGCCCAAAAACCTTAAAACCAGTTTGGTCTAATTCCAAAATCAGATACTTCATCTCAGAGATATATTAGGAGAAATATACATAATTCACATCCTCTTTTATTCATATCATTGATGGGGAGCATCCTTGAAAAAGATTTAATATTGTTAATTAATTAATAGACAGATTATGGTGCTTGATTTAAAATGCTAAAATAAAAATGCAGGATGCTGATTTATAAAAGATATCTTATGTAGTTCAGTTACAGTTTGGCACATTTTTTAAATAGCACTAGTGAGTGTTTTTTAACATATTCTGTCAAATGTAGCCCGATGCTAGAATACCTCACTGTTGCAGTCTGCTGTCAAGGTTTCACTGAAATGTGCAGAGGGAAATTTCAAGGTCGCAGATTAGTGAAGTGAGAATTAGTTAGAAATCATAATGAGATGAAGCCTTTATGCTAACAGAGGTTATTGGAGTTAGGATTTATGAAGCGTTTCCCAAACTAATCATGTTATTTAGCCTCTATCTCAAGAGACTTTTATTACAATGAATGTTTTATATTTACATTTCCATTAAGTTTAAGAGGATACTCAAGTAGAGACTTAGACACTAAGGCTGTCTCCATTTCTGACATTCCCTCTATATTCTTTGGTACCCTGATGAGAAAACTCAGCATTCAGTAAATGTCTTTTTGTCTGTGTAACCTAGTGTAAGATAATATGCATTTTCCTTGAGTATAGATACTTATAGGCAGCATATTTGTCACTTATTTGCCTATATTCTTTTTCTCCTTCTTGTGCATTTCAGTGTCACTTCCTAGGTTATTGCATCTGTCACATTGACAAGCTATGGCACAGCTAACAATCCGAGACTTTAGAGAAAGACCTGAGGGCTTGAACAAGCTCTTCCACAAAGCCTTTCTATTGTGTCTTGAATATATGTTATACTTTTAACTGCCACAGCCAGATTTTTGATTTCAAATTTTTGAAAAATAGAAGCAAAGCCGAAAAGCTTATGGCACCTAAGGGCCCACAGTATTATGATTCAAACTATTATTATTTATCCTAAGAGGAAAATTCTGTAAATGAAATGCATAACAGCGCAGGATTTCAAAGAACTTCTGCAAGACGGGGGGGGACAGGCACAGAGATTGCACATGCATGCAACAACACAAATGAAAAGCATGGGCAAAATCTTCGTAGTTTTAAAGTAGATTAATGTTTCTCAGTTCAGTGGGGCCAAGGTTTCATCCGCTATGAATAGCATTTGTACTGTAGTTGCTAATAATTCCCACACAGCCACGGTGTGTTTTTTTCAGAACTTTATTTACACTGGAGATCAATGACAGATATTAACTAAACATAGCTAGATATTTTTCCCCAGCACTTGCTTGGTTCCCAGCTGGCCTGAGCTGTTCTTCTCGAGTGCAGTTGGCCCAAGCTACTAGAATGGCATTAATTGGTAGTTCATATTTTTGGTCCTGTTATCAAGAGAATTTTGAACAAAAGGCTATATCCTGATTATTGAATGCCCTCAGCCAGAAAAAGGAACAAAGTAAGTGTTTCAGTGTGTGTTCCCAAAAGAACTCCCTCCCACTGTTCATTTGTTAATATTTAAGCTAAATAATCTTTGTGTCTAAAAATGATACGAGTTGCCAAAAGAAACTCTGATAGGTTGAGCATTAAGAACATCCATATAGATTTGAGTCAGTGCATTGAAATACAGTCCTACAAGGTCCTTTATTGCATTTTCTACAGGCCCTCAACTACATTCATCAAATGAGTGATTATTTTTGTTATCCACGTCTGATTAATGGCCCTCTGCCATACTTGGGGTATGTTGTTCTGAGTCTGCAGTGAATGAAGAATTGTTAATTTCCACATGGACGTTTTTGGGCTGTGTTCTCCCTAGCACTGATGTACAAAGATTAAAGCCAAAATTGTCAACAGTAGCTATCCATTTTGGTTGCCTATCTTGAAACATATAGGAGCTGATTTTTCAGAGTATTTGGAAATGTTTATAGCCTTTTCTGTGTTGAAAGCATAATCAGGATGTACTTGCTAACATTCAGCACTTATACAGATTTTGGCTTCAGTTATCACATTACCTACTCAGAAAATGTACTGTGTAAAAATAATGATCACTTGTGAAAAGCCGGCACTAACTGATGTGACCAGGACTATATGAAAATGCAGTAGATATGGGAAAAGAATCTCTTTTTTACAGAGGAGCATTCAATTGCTTTCACTTCAAAACTGCCCTTTTTCTCTTTATAACCCACTCCTCCTCCCACATACACCTCTTTCCTGGCCCACATCAGCAATAATTGTTTAGGTCCATCATCTCTAAAAGGCACTGTAAATCTTATGGAAACAGTGTACGGATGAGCAGGAAAGGTGATGAGTGGTACAGAACATCTTTATGAGAAGAGACTAAATGAAGTGGGACAATTTACTCATCTCAGACTAACTGTTTCTGCACATGTAATCTAAAATAGAACGTGCTGAAAGATAGGGGAGAATTGAGCTTTTCAGAAAAACACTTTTTTTTTTTTTTAACAATGGGCAGTCACAAGTTTTCTGTTTCCTTTCCTCCAAAGCTGCAGAACTATTTTAAATTAAAGAATGTTAAGGAAAACACCCACTGTAGGATTTTTTTACCAAAATGATTAAGCTTCTACTGAAAACAAGTCTTATAATGGAAAGTGTCAGGGAGCCTTGGGTTCTTCTCCCACCCCCATCTGGGTGGGAGATACAACAGATAACGACATTAGAGCATTCATATAACTAGTAAATGAAGTAATTTGCCGGATACACTGAAAAAAACAAAATGTCTCAATTACAAATTCAAAATTTAGGTGTTTAGCCCTTGAAGCCATTATCTACCTCTTTAAACCTGTAAAGCAGTATATTAATATTTTTTTTGAAATGCTCTCGTCCTTGAGAAGAAATAAGCTGGTTTCAGAAATCCCTCTTTCAGTGCCTTGTTGTATGTACTCGAAATTTACTAAATGATGAAAACGTCCACTATAAAGTGGAGTCATAAACTGTTACTAGATCATTTGTCATACACACAATATATTTCTGAATGATGGTTGCCATCACATATATGGGATTTTGGTGGTCTTGATTCTTTGTTTGTTATAATCGTAATTAGTTCCCAGCCTGGCTCTGTTTGCTCAGTTTGGGTTGCATTACTCCCTGCAATAATGTTGCTCCTTCTTGGCACTTGCTGCACCCCAGGTTAAATCACATAGCTGTTGTTTAGGCACCATTTCTACAAAGCATTTCATGTAAGGAAACCACATCTGTGTGGTTTTAGCCACATATTTGCCTGTTGGAA